TGTCTAATTTTAGGAACTCTCCTGGACGACGGCGAGTATAGCAGAAATCATACAAAATCCAGCCCCTCCCCTTTATAAGGATAAATCATCGAAAATGACTGTTGCTCTATTTATAACCATTTCATGGAGGCTTAAAATATATTTAGTATTTTTAATTTCTTCTTAAGACAAAATGAAAAATATCCGTGTCAAAGCAAACCTATAATTGATATATATCTCCGACTAAAATAAGATATGAAATATTATATTGGTTGAGTGTTTTAAGATTTTCTTTTTATGGGGAGGATTTAATGGGTGAATGGAGACTTCAGATTTGAAAATTAAGTGTTTAATTATAAATGTTTTAAAAAAATTATTTAACTGAAAAATTATTATTAGAAAAAAAAAAGAAATGGGGAATGGTGATAATTTTTGCGGGGCGGGGATGGGAACCGTCAACACCGTAGAAGTGCAATTATAATAAAAATAAAACCATAATTATTATTAAATTAAATTTAACAGTCAAAAAACTTATTAGTAAACAAATTTATTTTTAGAAAATAAAAGGCATTATTGTTATAAACTGGGTGGGAACTCACTAATATGTATGTAGAAGTGGAATGGATTGTTCTGGCCAAAATAATTATTTTTTTTATAAAGAGTATAAATGATTGATTATTTAATCATATAATAAGTTTTCGTTTTTTTGGGCACATCTTATTAGAAGTTAAAAAATAAGGGAGGTACAAATTTACTAATACATCACACTTGTTTAATTATTTGGATAACTCTTAATGTAAAAAGTTTATATTAACTTAAATCTAGCTACTAATTATATGTGAATGAGTAGAAATTCAAATTCACAATACTAAATTCATATTGTAAAATATTATTTATTAATGGATTGCTTAAGATTTCAAAATTACTCCGGAGATATGTCGGTAGAAATTAAAATGTTTGCTATTTTATAATATTAAAGTCTGCTAATTTGTTTCCATTCCTTAATTTTCTGATGTTTTGATTTAAAAAAAAATGAAATAAAATAAAATATTTTATTAAAATTTCCCTTTTTAGCTTCGGAAACAACCCATTTTCTTATTTAGCGTTATCACCACGCTTCACCAAAGAGTGCTTCAATGCAACGCTGGAAATAATATATTTGTGTTAAAAAAAAATTGTCGGTTTTGGAAAAAGGAAATAAAAAAAAGATTTATTGAAAAAGTTTGTAATTTGAAATTCGATTCACATGGTATTGATAATAAATCATGAATATTCCATATACACATACGATAACATTACATCTATTTTATTTTCATTTTTTCATTATTATCTATATCGTTTTGTGCAGATAATATATATACTTTTGATGTTAAAAATTATCATTTTAGTTCATATGAGTCGTAATTAATTTTAATTTAGTCCAGATAATTTAGTTACTTTTTTTAAACGCTTATGCTTTATTTACTCGACATGTGTTTTATCAATTCTTGATATCATCAACCAATTTAACCTTTGCACTTGTATTTTGATAAAATTATGACTATACTTGAAGTTCGGATGAAATGTTGATTCAAGCATATAATCTGTACATATAAGAGAAAAGACTCATATGTTCAAGTCAGTAATAGGTCACATCTATCACTCTCGAGACGAGGAAGCATAATTGCGTCATACAAGACTGCATGGAGACACGTTGTATGACAAGGTTGCTAAGCTATCATTTAACGAGTTTGGCTACTCCACTTGTCAAAATAGGAGCCAATGTTGGGGGCAAGGGAACCACTTGCCACATGGCATAACCAAACAAGTTATTACTTTTTGGATTTAACAATTGATTATAGCATTATTCGACTACTCCAACCTAAGCTCGTCCCAATGAAGGCTTGGCTGATGAGGCGTGAGAGATCATGAGTCCATGGCTGAGCTAAAGGTCGAGTCGAGGAAAGGAAAGCTTCTCCCAACTGTCTTCTAATTGTCATCCCGCGAATTGTGCAACCAACAAGTGAGTGAGATCCATCAATCCTTGCCTATAAATACATAAATTCTTTCCATATGCAATTCTAATTCCTTGTCTCGAGAGTGATAGAACATACCTATTATTGACTTGACCGTCGAAACCTTTTCTCTTCTCTCTGCAAGTTCCATGATTGAGTTGGTCTCTTCGTCCAAACTTCGAGAGCAGTGAAAATCTTGTTGAAACAACATGGATATATACATATCTTATACTAATGTCAACTTATTGTTTCTCTTAATCATGTCTAAATAAAAGTGTGATATGAACAAATTATAAACATCTGGTAAGGATAGACATGTTGAGTGATTTAACTAAATCGTAGAGAATAAATTAAAATATTAAAATTTCCAAAAGACTAAATTGAAATGATTTGTTATTTTATGTTGCAAAATAAAAGGAAACATACCTTAATTAAAAGTATAGAAAGGCTAGAAAGTGGCAAAAAGAAAAAAAGAAAAAAAAAAACAAACATCTATGAACTATTGGGTTGGTGGTACGATGATACACATTTGAACTTCCCATGTGATCAAATCACTCTAATTTATATCGGTTGCAATTAACTCCTTAAATATTGCAAAAATGTCTATTTCAAAAATATTGCAAAAATGTAAACCACCTTTGAATTACATCTATCGTCCAATCAAACCTTCAAACTAATAGAAAGGTTACAATCAAACCTAAATTATTTACAGTAATGTGTTGTTTTCTTCATTCGAGATGTGTTCACCTACCATCAATCAAAAAACCAAAATCGAACTTTTTAATAGGGTTAATATAGAAAAAGTTCCGAGTTCATTTTTTATATAAAAATTGAATTAAATTATAACAAATTCAATAATAATTGTTTGATTATAGCAATGATCCTTGAAGTTAATAGGGGATTGTCGGTATATTTTACAATATTTAAGAGATTAATTATAATAAATTTATAAGTTTATAGAAGTGATTAAAAAAATAAACAAAATTTGAAGATGTAGTTGTGACAAACCCCGAAAACCCAGAGGTAGTTTTTTTTTTTTTAAATTTTCCCACAAATTAAAAACAGAATTGAAAAAAAAAACATGACAAAAAAGGCCAACGCATTAAATTAAAACAAGCACTAAAATTACAAAATAGATAAATTAAATATTGTACCCTTCTAAAATTATTGGACAAAACCATAACGAAATCTTTAGAATATTTCTTATTAAACGAGCATGATAAACATTCATTAAAACCATAGCCAAAAGCAAGATAGGATTTTAACGTATCTTTTTAACCCCAAAATTTCAGAGAACAATTTTTATTTCCTTTTTCAGATGAACCGTAAATTATATTTGGTATTAAATTTGAATTACGTTACTTTTACAAAAAATATTCATTTTTATTATATTTAAAATAGATATTTATAACTGTATGCATCAATATTTTAAATTTTAAATTAAAGAAGAGAACGCCACCGACCGAACCGGGGCCCGCGAAGGAGTACTGGGAAAATGTATATCGTGCATATGAAAGCGTTAATACA